TTTCTCTCCTCCTTCCTCCTTTCACCCCTTCCCCTCCCCTCTTCCTCCCCCTCCCTTTCTGCGCCTTGGCACCTGTCCGCTTGGGTACTGGGCGCCCGCGCCTCCCGACGCCTGGACCCGCCTTTTGTTGGTATCTTGCTGGCATCTCCTTCGCCCCCCCCCCCTCCCCACATCCCCGCGACTTCCTGGCCACTGACACACAGAGCGCACACCTGGCCAGACCCCACACTAGAGACCGAGCGAGGGCAGCAGCATGACACTCCCGTCGCCAAGCGCCCCCGCCGGCAGGGCGCCCCCGCCTCCCGGCGACATCGGACCCCTGTCCTCCTCCTCCTCCTCCTTGTCGGCTGACTCGCCCTCGGCCGCGTCGCCCGGCAGCCCGCACGGCTCGCACCATCGACTGACGCTCGCCGAGCGGCGCCGCCTGGCCGGCACGCAGCCCGCCGCCCCGGTGGCCTCCCTCCGCGATGCCTCGACTCCCTTGGCACCTGGGCCCGGGCCCGCGACCGGCGCCAGTGGGCCTGCCTCGCCCGTGGCCTCGCCGGCCGCCCCGGCCCTGGGCTCGCCCGCGGCCAACCTCCAACTCGACATGACCTTCCTCTCGAATGGCGGCAGCACGGCACCCTCGGCCAATGGGGCCTCCTGCGGGGCGCCGGCATCCACACACTCCTCCGGCCCGGCGGCCGAACAGTCGCACGGGAGCGACGGCCTTCCCCATCCGCCCGCAGGGTCGCGCCGCTCCTCGGCCGGTACGGGACACCCCATCCCCCCCCCCCCCGCCCCTCGGCTTTTGATGCCCGTTCCGCACCTTCTGCCCTTCCTCCCGCCGCCACTGATATCGCCTCTCGCCCTCGTGCCCCCTGCCCCTCCCCGTCACCCCCGCACCCGGGGGGGGGGTGGCGTCCTCCCTGGCCGGGGCGCGGCAGGCGCGGAGGAGGCCCGGCAGCGGCATCCCGATCCTCGCGCTCCGGGCTGAGGCTCAGCGGGCCCGGCGGTGATCGGCCATCACCGCCCGCCCTGCTCTCGACTCCGGCCTTCCCCTCCTAGATCCCCCCTCGACCCTGTCCAAGCAGGCGCACTATTCATCCACCAACTCCATCGGCGATCCCGGTGAGACGGGCTTCGTGTCAAACATTCGGGTCCGGCAGGTCGCCTCGCCCCTGGCCTCGCCGCTCTCCTCGCCGTACCCCTCGGCCTCGCCTTCCCTGGCCCGCAGTACCTCCTGGCACCGGGGGGACTTTTCCTCCTCGGCCGGCTCCTTCACCCTCAGCGGCGCCGGCATGCAGTTTGGCATCTCCCCCTCGCCGTCGTCCAACTCGCTGGCCATGTCGCCAGGCGGCGGTTCGACGCCCAGCCGGACGATGTCCTACCGGTCTTCGGCTCGGCCCATCCCGATGCCCTCCCTCTCGCGGTCCACCTCCCAGAGCCTGTCCAATTGCTCGTCCCCGGTGAGTGGAACCCCGCCGTCGGCCATCGGCCGGCCGCCAATCCCCACCGCCGGCTCGGGTCTCCTCAATCCGCGCGTGTCCCTGCCCCCGACCCCGGTGCACCTGGGCCCGGGCGCGGCGTCGCCCAAACGTCCAGAACGCCAGCCCTCCACCGGGGGCGGCCTGTCCCCGCGCGCGGTGCCCGCTCCTCGCTCGGGGCTGTCAAGCCCCTCGCCACGCGGGGCCGCCGCGCCCCTGGCCTCCCCGCGTGCCGGGGCCCATGTGCCCGCCGGTGCTCCCGATGAGGATGCCCCCGAGCCGGAGCAGGAAGGGCCGGGCTCGGATTCGGATTCCTCCCTGGAGTCGGATTCCGCCAGCGCCTCCAGCTCCTCCTTCAGCTCGGATGAAGACCTCTCCGATGAGGAGGACGCCTTCGATGAGGATGAGGTGGTGATTCCCCTCCGGCGGCCGCTGGCCACGGCCACCGATTCGCGCGACTCGGTCTCCCTCACGGAGGAGCTCCCGCCCGAGCGCCTGACCGGGCGCGAGTCCGATGGGTCGCGCGATTCGCTACCCCCGCACCCGCGCTCGCGCCCCCTTTCCCAGGGGCCCCTCATCCCGGGGGTCTCGTCGCACCTGTTCCACAGCATCGACAGCATGGCCGCCCCGCGGCCGGCCTCCATGCACATGGACAGCTTGTCGAGCTCCTGCTCGCAGCTGGATGGTGGCCGGGGCGCGCCGCGCACATCCTCCGCCGGCCCCGGCGCCGCATCGGGCCCTGGCGGGCTTCACCCTTCGCCGCAGGCCGGCTTCCAGCCGCATCTGTCCCAAAGCCAGGCAGCTGGCTGGGCCTCGGCCTCGGTGTCCTCGCAGCTGTCCCTCTATTCGCAGCTGTCCGACGTGTCGGTGGCCACGACGTCGCTCATGTCCCGCGCCCCGTCGGCCTCCTCCCTCGGGCCACTGTCCTACTATCCCACCACCCCGATGTCCTCCTTCGCCCTGGGGCCATCCCCGGTGCCCGGCGGCACCCTCCAGCCCTATCGCCTGCAGATGTCCCTCTCCAGCACCTCGCTCGCGACCGGGGCCCCGGCCACTCCGCCAGCGGCCCCGGGCCCGGGCGGGCACCTGGCATCCATGTCGGCCGACATCCCCGGGTCTCACCACCACCACCACCACTACCACCACCATGGCCAGGGGGCCACCGGGCCGACCCGCCATGGAGGGACCCCCACCAGCGCCACCAGCTCGCCGGGCGGATCGGTCGGATCCCCATCCGATGGGCGCATTCACCGGAAGCCCTCGGTCGTGTCGCGCCTGAAGAATGTCTTCAAGCATAGCCCAACGCCCGGGAAACCCGGCACCGGGCCGAATACCCCCACCGGTGTCGGCCCCTACACCGGGAGTCCCCGCATCCAGGCCATGCCGCCCGGGCCATCCGGCCCGTCGCCCCTTTCACATGTGGACCATCACCACTCGCAGTCGAACCTCCCGACGAACTTCGTCTATGACGAGTTGTCGCCTCACCCGTCGGTGTACATGTCGGCCGTCGCCCCGGCCGATGGGCCCATCCACTCGTCCCTCTCGTCCGGCGCCCTGCACACCGGGCCCGCTGGCGCCGGGGGGGCCACCTCCGGGCGCAAGGGTGCGCGTCCTGGCGGCGCGCACCTGAGCACGGCCCCTGGCTTCCACCGGGCTGCCTCCTCGCCGGTTCTGCCGGCCAACCTGCGGTCCACCGGCGGGGCGTCCGGCCCCGAGCATGGCAGCTCCCCCTCGCTGGCCGACATGCCGGCTTCCCTGTCTGCCTCTTCCGGCTCGTCCATGGGGTCTGGTGGCATGATGGCGGCCGGGTCATCCGAGCGTTCGGCCTCCGGGCAGACCCTCCCCCGGCAGCCGTCCTTCGGCTTCGACCCATCCTTCGGCTTCCCGCAGCACGATGGCCCCCACTGCCCGGATGACTATCTCCACCTGTATGGGGTGTATAGCTTTGGATTCCAAAATTGCGGGCGCGGCTTCCCGGCGGCCCCGCCCCCGGCCCCGGTCCCGGGGCTGTGCCGTGGCAAGCTCATGGTGGAGTTCTTTGTGTCGGCCAATCCGACGACCGTCGGCGATTTGCACAGCTTCGCCCCGGTTCTGGCCCACCCGCGCTCGGCCAACATCCATCACCGGGGCTCGGTGTCCAGCATGACCGGCACCCGCGACCGGTCATCCTCCACCAGCTCCACCCACCAGGGCCATTACCACCAGCACCACCAGCGACGCGACTCCTCCTCCAGCGTGGCCTCCGCCCATCATCCTCATCACCAGCAGCATCATCATCATCATCAGCCCCAGCACAACGCCCATCGGCGGTCTTCCTCCTATGCGTCGATCCGTGCGTCTCACAATCCCCACGCGGCAGGCCCTTCGGGATCCCGTCGTCCAAGCATCCTGGCCGCCGGATCGCCCTTCCCCGAGGTGGCCGCCGCGGCCGGCCGGCCGGCGGATCCCCTGGCCACGGACCCGGCCGTTCCCTCGCTCGGGTCCCTGGCCCGGGTGCCCTTCTTCCAGGTGTATTCCTCGCTCGCGACTGAGAGCCAGCAGCGCGGCGTGGCGGCCCTTTCGCAAATCTTCGCCGGGGATGCCACACTGGCGGCCATGGCCACCGGGACCGACCTCCTGGCCAGTGCGGAATATCCCAGCGATCGGACGCCGGACAGCCCGGCTCCGATGGGCCGGCCACGCTCGGCCTCGGCCCGGGTCCCGGGTCCCGGGTCCCGGTCCGGGTCCGGGTCCGAGTCCGGGTCCGGCCTCATTGCCCCGACCCCGGCCCCCGATGCGTTGGATTCCTTCCCCCCGGCGCTGATTCAGCTCGGTCTAACTGGCCCGCGCCTGCCGACCGAGCAGAACCAGAGCCTGCCGGCCGGCATGCTGGTGACATATCGCGCGGCGCTGGCGGCCATCTGGTGGTCTCCGCCGTTGTTGGATTCGCAGGTCATTCGCGATGGCGCCCTCCTGTATGAGCATGAGGCCGCCTCGCGGCTCTTCTCCTCCGATGCCCTGCTCATGACCGATGACGATGAGGCGGTCTTCGATGCGAGCTCCCGCCGGGGCTCCGTGGTGTCGGTACACCAGGCTGTGGCCGACGAGGGCCCGGGTTCGCCGAGCCTCAACCGAACGCGCCGCCACTCGACGCACTTTGCCCCGACCCCGGTGCAGTTCGACCTGTCGGCCCTGCATGGCGGCCCCGATGACCCGCCTGCCGGGCATCATGCCCATCAGTCCCACCACTCGCCGCCGATGCCGGCCGTGACGTCCATCACCTCGGCCTCCTCCTCGCCCTCGATCCACGCGCATGACCCCCATGGCTCTAGCCCCGGCGACTCGCCCGGGCTCCATGGCCATACGGCCGGCACCAGTGCCGGCTCTACGCCCAGCAGTCCGCCCTCCTCCAAGGGGTTCTTCGGATTCTTCTCCTCTTCCTCCTCGGCCTCCTCCTCCTCTTCGTCCTCCGCCTCGCATGCGGCTGATGGGGCCGGCCGCAAGCAATCCACCGCCGGGGCCGCTGGCCGTGCTTCCTCCATTTCCGGCCCCACCCCGGATCCCAATGCCGGGTCTTCCTCTCGAAGTAGCTCCCGGCGGTCGTCCCTGGTGGATCTCTTCTCGCCTGCCTCCTCGACGGCCGTCACCGGCACGGCCCCGACGCCGGTGCCCCAGGTCCCCGGGTCTCCATCCTCCGCCGGCCATGATGCCACTGGCTCCGGCAATGGGCTCTTCGCCTTTTCCCTGCGCCGAGGCTCGCGCAGCAGCGACGCGCTGGCCATTCCCTCCGGAGCCGGGACCATCCCCGGTCCCGGGGCATCTGGCAGTGGCTCCGGTGCCAGTGCCGCGACGAGCCCGCAGGTTGGCTCGGCTCCGGGCCCAGCCAGCATGATTGGATCCCCGCGCACGGGCAGCTTCGGCCCGGGCTCCTCGCCGCATGTGGGTGACCTCTCCTCGCCGAGCCTCCAGTCGATCCCCGGCTCGCCGGGCACCCCGCGCAAGTCGTCCTTCACCTCCGGCACGGCGACCGGCAGTGTGCCCGGGCCCTCGCGTGCTGGCGGGGCATTCAACCGGTCGGCTAGCAGTGGCCCGATGGCGGCGGCCCCTCCGACGCGTGTCGGCACCCCGGCCGGCACCCAGGCTCCGGTTGTCATCGCGGCCCGGACCCTGCTCTACCAGCAGGCCACCATCGGCACCGGGATGGCCTACCTGCTGAAGGTGGACCCCCAGCCCTTGCTGGCCCAGTACCTGGATCGGGCCCACCAGCCCGGCTGGTCCAATGCCCAGTCGGTGGTGCAGGCGGCCGACGCCCTGCCCGGCTACTCGGCCCGGCTGACGCACCTGATCCGCGATGCCTACATGCAGGCCCGGCGCACGGCTCTCCAGCAAAATAGCCCGACCAACCTGTCGGCCGATGCGGCTGGCTCCCCCGGCTCGCACTCGCCCATGCCGCTGCCATTGCGCATGCGGATCCTGGTGAGTCGGGACCGGGAGGTTGCCGGTACGTGCCGCATGCTGCTTTTGCTCTTGCTGTTGTTGTTGTTGTTGTTGTTGTTCTTTCTGTTGCCCCGATTTTCAGGCCCCACCATGGGACCCCCCCTCCCCCTGGCCGGTCTTTTTCTCTTGCCATCCCCCCTCCTCCATCCTGACTCACACCTCCTACCCCGACAGACCGCGTGGAGGCCTGCGAGCAGAGGCGCCTGTTTGCCTCCTGCAAGAAGGCCATGCTTCTGGCTCGGATGCAGATGCGCCGCGACATGGCGGCAGCTGCGGCCGCGATCCCTGTCGAGACCGATTTGACTCCCGACGTTGCCGTGGAGGCTGGCCCGGCCACCGGCGCCCCGGCCACCGGGTCTAGCCCGGCCGCCCGCGTGGAGCTCGACACCAACATCATTGCCCGGCCGAACATGGTGTCCGGTCAGCGGCCCATGTCCACGTCGGTCCTGCTCTTCCCGTCTGCCGACACCACCGTTGGCGATGACAACACGGCTCCCGCCTCGCCCGATGACGAGTCCGACTCCGGTGGGTCGTCAACGCGGCCGTCTCCCACCTCGGAGGAGCCCTGTACGTCTTGGCATCTCACTCCCTCTCTCCCTGTTTGCCTCTCTCTCTCCCTCTCTCCCTGTTTGCCTCTCTTTCTTCCTTTCCTTCATCTCCCCCCCTTCCCATTTCGCGGGCAAATACGCACACCGACCGCGGTGCTCCGGCCACATACCCTGGCCCCCTGCATCGACGCCCGTTACTGACCCCCGTGTGCCCTCCGTGCCGTTTGAAGACCGGTTCACCTCGGTGGCCGAGCACGGCCCCAATGCCTCCACTGATGAGGATGAAGATGACGCCGTGGGTGCATCCAGCGACGGCCCGGCCGGCACCCGGTCCTCCACCGACGCCGATGCCCAGTCCTTCGGGGTTCACAATACGGGTCGCTCGCCCGCCCTCTTCCCGAGCCCGGCCTCTTCGACGACCACCTCCCTGCTGGGCAGCAGCACCTCCAGCATCGCCACCTCCCGGCGGATGTCCCTGGCACCGGAAATCATGCGCACCCTTTCCAAGTCGGAGCCCGGCCCGGCTGGCGATGCTGCCGGGCTGGCCGCCGGGGCTGGGGGCCCGTCTGGCCATGCCGTGGCCGGGGGCGCCGCCCCGGCCGCGCCCTTCTCCGCGGTCATCGAGCACATTCGCCGCGGGTCGATGGCACCGACGGCTTCCATCGCCAGTGCCATCCCCGGGGCCGGGCCCGGCCTGTCAGCGCTCGGCCCGGTGGAGCGGGTCAGCATCCCGCGGAACTTGAAGGACCTCGGGGCCGACTCGCTGGTTTCCTCGCCCGAGACCGTGTCCGTGGTGAATCCCCGGCTGACGGCCTTCCTGAATTCGGCCGATGGCCGTCGGGCGCCAAGTGCTCCAGACAGCCTGGCCGCCTACCGCCGGGCCAGTGTCGCCACGCATGTCCTCCATGGGCCGTCCTCCTTCGGGGCCCCGGGCGCTCGGCCGATGGCCATGCGCCCCGGTGGGCTGGGCTTTGGCGGCCCGACCGGCGGTCCGGGGTCCAGCTTTGCCCCGGCCAGCACCATGGGCACCTCCGGTCCTGGGGGCTCTGGCGGTGCCGTCAATCCGACGGACGTCATGCTGGCCGTGCGCCGGAGCAGCCTTGCGCCGCCCCTGTCGGCCTTCCTGCCGACCAACCCCTACGGGCTCAGCGGCCTGGCGCCGACCTCGTCCTCGAGCTTCCATAGCTCCACCGGGCCCCGGGCCTCCATCCAGCAGGCTGGCGGCCCGGGCAGCGGTGGCCAGCCCAACCCGGACCAGCTGGCTGATGCAGTGCTCAAGGGCCACATCGACCCGAAGACCATGGATGCGGTGTCGGCCGCGGCCGCGGTCACGGCCCTGATGGCGGCCCGCAAGGCGGCCCGCGACTCCGGCGACTCCGACCACTCGGGCGCCTCGGACGCCTCGGACTATTCGTACTCCTACTCCCAAGATGAGGATGAGGATGAGGATGATGAGGAGTATGGCGCCTCCGACACCGATGCCGGCCCCCGGCAGCCGGACTACCGCCATCCCGGCCAGCGGGGCCACGGCCTGCACCCTGCCTATCATGCTGGCGAGGATGATGACGACGAGGAGAACCACACGCACCTGGTTCATCCCGGCATGGATGATGATGACGATGATGATGGCGAGGTGTTCACCAGCGTGACGAATCCCCTCTTCCTGTCGATGGCCAAGAGCCGTGCTCTGGCCATGCCTACGACGATCACCGAGTCTTCCTAAGGGCGCATGCCTCCCTCTCCTCCCCCCCCCCCCCTCCCCATGGCCATGGCATACTACTCCGATGAACGCGTCCTTTCCTCTTGGGGCTTGCTCGCACACGCACATGCGCGTGTGTCCTGGCGTCATAGTTTTCCTCTCCCCCCCCCCCCCCATTCCCATCCCCATCCCCCTTCATCCCCTGCTCCCTCCTGCCTGGTACTCTTGTCGTGGAGTGCTGGTTCCCCCGCTTGCCACCGCCATCGGCGTCACTCTTGTTGTCGATACGTGTGCCTCCCTTTTCCCCCTTCCCCTGTCCTTGTGAACATCCTGGAACCATTTTGCCCCGCGCATGAGGGAGAGGCCCCAGCCCTCTCCCCATGCCACACCCCCCCCCCTCTGAATATACACGACCATAGATTCCACATACTCCAATCGACATGTGGCGTGGCCCTATCTACGTATGCTGGGGGGGCCTTCTTATGGTGGCTGAGGGCGCACCAATGAGGACCGAGCACAATGAGGCCAGTGGACAGCAAAAAAAGGGGGGGATCTATTGGGAGGGGGGGGAGAGAAAGGGAGGGGGGTGGTGAAGGGGTGAAAACAGGAGCCCTCTGGCTGCCGGCACCAGAGGAGGGCACAAATCGACCCAATATAGATGACATTGAGACACGTGTTCGGGATGTGGGGTATTGCAAACGGAGGGAGGGAAGAGAGCGACAGAGAGGGGCGAGGGAGGGGGAGGGAACACTTGGATGGAGGAGGGAGGCGCTGTACGCCTGGACCTGCGAATGCTGCAGGCCCCTGGCCCGTGCCCTGCCGCCCTCCTGCCTCGGTGGCGCAGGAGGGGAGGTGCTTTACCAAGTGGAGAAGGTGGGCGCACGGGCGGGCTCGGACAGGTATCGGCGCACGACGCCGGGCTTGACATCGCTCTGCTGGATGAGCAGCGGCGGCATCTGAGGGGGAAAACATCCAAAAGGGACACAGGACACACATGGGGACCGGGCAGCAAGAAGCGCGGGTGGGTGGGAAGGTGAGTGGGAGGACCCCGGACCGTCAAACGGCGGGCAGCAGGAAGCAAGGTGCGAATGGGGGAAAAAAAAAAAAGGGAGGCGAGGGGGGCAGGCCCCCGGATGTCGGCTCGATGCCATCGGCTCATGTGCAATGGCAAACGCGCGAGGCTGCGCACCTGGGTCAGCTCCAGCGGGGTATATCCATTGAGCAGGGCCTTGACGAGGTTGGCCGCCTGGCCACGGAGGACAGCCATCTGCCCGGCGAAGGCCGACTCGCTGTAAGCCACCCCCTCGAGGCGGGAAATGGCGCGCAGCTCCTCGACCAGCTGATTCATGAAGGTCTCATCAGCCAGCAGCGGGACAAACTGCAGGCGGGTGGGCTCGGAGAAGGGCACATGCGCATGGGGCGTGGAGGTCCAGCCGAAGGGGTAGGTGCGCCAGTTCTCCGGGTGCGTCCAGGGGAAGGCCAGGCCATTGTCAATGGCCGCAATCGACAGGTAGGGCGTCTGCAGGGCCGAGCGGCCGAGGCGGAAGCGTGCCGAGCTGGAGAGCGACCCCAGAGTCGATAGTGGGGCCACCGGCGGCCGGGACCCGATGACCGGCTGCTGCACCATCCCTGGGGCCGTTTCCACGGGGGCCGAAATCCGGTTCACATGCTCGATAACCGTCCGGAAGGCCTGGGTATCGGTGATGGTTTCGGGCGAGACCCCTGGCGGCGCGTCCACCGGCTCCCAGTGGTCATTGGGGTTCTCGGGATCCTGGAGGTAGGGGTGTGCGTGCAAGTGTGCGTGAGGAGGGTGTGTGAGCGTGGGGGAGCGCGAGCGCGAGCGCGAGTGCATGCGCGTGCCGCTCGGCGCGAATGAAAGAGACACGGGAAAGACACAGGCAGAATGCACAGCCGGACGAGGAGGAGCCGACAAACACACACACACACACGGCCCAAGCAAGCGCACGTACATTGATCGACAGCCGGATGGCCTCGGTGGATTGCTTTGCCGGCAGGTTCTCCAGAGAGGACATCGACTGCATCCAGGGCTCGCTGATGATGGCCATCGAGGGGCAATACTTCTTCTTGTATGGGCACTGGTCAAGCTTGATCTCCTGCGGCTTGTAGCGGATGAGCCAGTTGTCATTGCCACGATCTGAGGCACGCGCCAGAGGGCAAGCGCGTTCACACGGGGGCCGGGGAGCGTCAGACCAGCATGCCAGGGCACCGCACAGCATGGCAGACAGATGGGCGAGGGCGGGGGGCCGGGTGGGGGGGGGGAGGGAAGACCATTGGCCAGGCGCCGAAAGGGGAGAGCCACGCACCGGTGTTTCGAATCAGGTAGTCCAGAATGACCAGACGCTCGAAGAGCAGCTGGAACTGCAGACGAACCGCCCGCAGGGAGATCCCGGTGCAGGGCTCCTCCGACAGGCAAGACCCATGGACCGGGCAGCTCGGGGAGCAGGTGCTCTCGGTGGAGGTCCCGGTGCCGGATGAGCCGGCGCCATTGGCACCGGCGGCAAGCCCCTCCGGGGCCGACGTGGTCACCGGCCCGGAGGCGCCGCTCGGCACGGGCGCCGGAACCAGCGTCATATTGTCATCCGCGCCATGGGGATTGGGCAGCTTGCCCAGGACAAACTGCGCATCAGCAAAGCCCGGCATGAACACCTGCAGCGAGCCGATCTTCCGGGGCAGGCGCCCGGCACCGGTGCTGGCATGCGGCCGGCCAGCCGCATCGGGCGGGGTATTGCCCGTGGCAGCCGATGCCGCGGCCGATGCCGACGCCGCGGCCGACGCCACAGCCCGCGTGTAGGCACTGTAATGGAAGGTCGGCGAGGCCAGGCGGACCACTCGCGTCCGGGGCACAATGCCCAGACCCAGGTGCCGGTCGACGGCCGAAGCCGCGGCCTCGGAAATGTAGCCGACATTCGGAATGAGGCTTTCGATGGGCACATCGGGACAAGTGCGTACAGCGGTCGGGGGAGGGGGGGGGGGGCGGGGAGGGGAGCGGGAGCGACGCAAGCAGAGAGGAGGTCAGCCCCATGGCAAATCCCCGGACAGGCAGATGAATAGGGGGGGGGAGGGGGAAGGGGCGCCACGTACCAGCTCCGCCCAAAACAGCAGGGGAGGACCTTGCGCTGGAGCCACTTGGCCCACTTGGGATTCTGCGCGCCGTAGGGCTCCTCGTCGCGGGGCTTGAAGACGGCGATCACATTGCCGAAGCGGTCCCGGCAGAAGTAGGACCCAGAGGAGCCCTGGACAATGCGCTCCGGGTAGACGCCACGTGCAATGGCATATCGGATCTCCGACACGACCATGTCAAACTCCTCGTCCGACAGGGGCCGATCGGGGTTGAGCTTCTGCAAGCACGGGCGACACAGGACGGGGCAGAGAGTAAGGAGGCCAGACGGAGAGGGAGGAAGGGAGGGAGGGAGGGAGGGAGAGAGAGAAAGAGGGTGCGCGCGCCAAGGGGAGGAGGGGCTCATCAGCACTCGGCCAATGGCAGAGAAGAAGAGCGGTGTGCTCCCGCGCGCCCATGCACACGACCCTACACGACGCTCTTCCGATCTGGGCGACACAGGACGGGGCAGAGAGTAAGGAGGCCAGACGGAGAGGGAGGAAGGGAGGGAGGGAGGGAGGGAGAGAGAGAAAGAGGGTGCGCGCGCCAAGGGGAGGAGGGGCTCATCAGCACTCGGCCAATGGCAGAGAAGAAGAGCGGTGTGCTCCCGCGCGCCCATGCACACGAGGTCAAGCGCGTACCAGGGGAGGGAGCTGGTCTTTGGGGATCTGAGTCTCGCCAGCCAGGGCCCGGCCGTCGAATGGGGCGTCCTCATACTCCCACTCCTTCTCGTACATGATGCCACCGCGGGCCTGCGCGGCGGCCGAGTGCCGGGGGCACTCATGGTGGTGGTGATGCTGGCTCGGGGGGGCATCGGCGTCGGTGTCGGCGTCGGCGCTGTCGGCAGCCGGCGTCCAGTTGCACTTCGGCTCGCGCAGGCGCGTCAGATCGGAAGAGCACACGTTCCTCATACTCCCACTCCTTCTCGTACATGATGCCACCGCGGGCCTGCGCGGCGGCCGAGTGCCGGGGGCACTCATGGTGGTGGTGATGCTGGCTCGGGGGGGCATCGGCGTCGGTGTCGGCGTCGGCGCTGTCGGCAGCCGGCGTCCAGTTGCACTTCGGCTCGCGCAGGCGCGTCGAACGGGCGGGCGCCCGCTGCTCATCCAGGCGCTCGGCCGAGGGAGTTGCTCCGCGGCGGGTAGATCCACGCGGGACGGCACCACCGGACTTGGGAGCCGACACGAGCGGGGTGTTTTCCGTATACTCGATGTAATCGGACCCCTCGTGCATCG